AAACAATCAAACTCCTGCGATGAGTTCATGGCATGACTTCCGCATGACTTTTGGCGGAAGTATGCAAGAACCCTAATTTGGCCAATCAAAGAAGCGTATTTTCGAAAGTCATGCTCTCAAGTGGAAAGCAGGAGTTTCAAACGTCATCAATAAGCAACGTATCCAGCGCTCAGGTGGCTAAGGTTTTCCTAATTGCGGGCTTTTTGCGTAACACAACGCGTAGTCCAAAAACTCAAGCGCATTTCTTCCATGCACTTTATTGTAAAAGCCTGCAAACCAAAAGCTACGTCTTACAGACAAATCAAAGAATTAATTATCGAAAAAAATCAAAATTGCGGAAAAAGTAAGTCATGCTCAGCATGACAAGCATGACCTCTAGCTACGCCACTGGAACCAGTCAAGCCACCCCGCTTATCAGTCGGTTATTCCAGGTCAATTAAAATTCAACTGATCTGGTTACCAAGGAGATATTCATTAGATTAGTCATTAGTTTTCAATAATAAATAATGCGGGATTTTTATCACGAAGTAAATGCGATAAGAAAATAAGAATAATTAATGAATTTTTAATTAATATGAATAGGTAATTTTTGAATTTCAAACATCAGTCGCGCGACGGATTTGACATACTCTAGATCCGCCCCTGACTCCGACATGCCAAATTGTGTTAGTAACTTAATAATATATTGCCTTTGACTCATTGTTATTTAAGTTTCTGAGCATTTGAATTTAGTCCCTAAGAACCAGGACATTATTCCTAAATCCATCTTAAAACGGTTGCCTTAGATTTTCTTGACACTCTGCATTAATGTATCATTGTTAGCAACAATGATAAAATCATATACCCATACTATTAGAATAGTAATATCTTTTCCTTCAAATCGCGTGTAAACGCATGGGTCGACTAATGATTGTTTGAAAGTTTTCCCGTTTAAATGTTCATGGAATACGTTATTCCAATTCCTACCACTTTGTTTTAATCCATACAAAGAATTTTTCAACCTGTACACTATTTTTTCATCATTTTTATCTACTTCCTCATATCCTTCAGGTTGATGCATATAAATTTCGCAGTCTATTGGGGCGTTAAGATAAGCTGTTTTTACATCCATCTGATGCAATAACATGTTGTTTTGAACAGCGTGTTGAAACAATACACAGATACAACTCATGCGTGCAGTTGGCGAAAAGGTTTTGCTGTAGTCAATACCGGGAGTCTAGGAGTATCGTTTTGCTACATAACGGGCTTTATGGGTCTCTTCCTCATGTTTCCTACATTTACGGTGTATACCCATCCCCCCCCCCACTATGTCTTTATTTGTTGAGGGTGGAACAAGTTTAAACGTATCATTGTCAATTAACGCTTTTATTTCATTATTCATGGCTTTTTGCCATTTTACTTTTTCAGTGGAGCTTATTGCTTGGGAATAGGCCGTTGTGATGTTGGATACTCTATAGCAATAATCTACGGTATATGAAACAGTATCCTCCCCTGAAACTTCTTCTGTCATATACTCGTCAAAATATTTACTCTTACTTCTTATCCTAGTGGGGTATCTTAATTCTCTAGATGTCTCTGGAGCACTAATGTCTTTGTTTGTTGTTTTGGGGTTTCTTTCATGCAATTTAGCTATCTGAGGTTCAAGTTCTTAATCATCTAGTTCTGGCAGTTCCCTGCTACCCTCCCTGAAGAACTTAACGCATCTTACACGCTGAACCTTGTTAATGTCAGGGTAGTATATGCTGGACTATCTGTTAATTCAATAACATGTGCTTTACTATCAAATTTACTATCAAAATCTATAAATTTTCGACTTATCGTTAATAATGTGACTTGTAGCTCCTGTGTCCACCAGTAGAGTTAAATTGCCTTGATCCTTATCCTTCACGTCTGCTTCAGCGTTTTCTTCTTCATCCTTTGACACGAGTAAAAAGGTGTGTTGCCGTTCAGTGTCACAGCGCTGCTCGTCTTTAGCTGCCTTGGACATTTCTTTCGTCTTTTGGCAATCTTTCGTGTCGTGGGTCTTGGTCTTGCATATAGAGCACTATTTGTTCCCCTTCACTCGGCATTGTGAGCTTTTGTGTCCCTTTCTTCCACATTTAAGCAATTTCAGTCAAATTTTAGTTTGTCATAACGTTGTCACCTACCTCACCTTTTGGTGACAATGGTTTGATATTTTCTTAATGACTTCGTAACGAGTTTTGAAATTACGTAAATCTCATTTATCTTTCCCTTTGAACTGTTACGGTAGCAAAGACGTCGTACGTACTTGGCAGACCCTTTAAAACTTTATTATCTCCTCGGCTTCTCTTAAGGCTGTTGCCGATCGTTCCGCTTGCAATATATAATCTGTGACAGTTTCGTCGTCACTTTCTGCAGCGAAGTGAGTTCCGTGTAAAGAGTGATGATGGGAGGTTTTCCTCTGCCTTGATAGTGATGTCTGAGGATTTCTAAAGCTCTTCGTCCATTGTCTTTCGCCTCCCAAATTAGAAGAGACAAACTTCTGTCGTCCAGACATTGGTTCAACTCTGCAAAAGCGTCAGCCAGTTTTAAAGTTGCTGGTTCTTCTCTCTCACTTGCTGATTCGATAAATACGTCGTACAATTTTTGAATACGCACATATAGCCCAAGAATTTTTTTTCCAAACTCGTATTTGCTTTCGCTTCCATCGAAATGCAAACCTCTCCTGGGTCTATAACCTGTTGAGTTCGAGTTACTCGCCATATCTCTTTTCGTAATATATTCTATACCTTCAGTAACAATCACGAGTGAAATTAATGATCGAACTGATTTTTATTATTTTACAGAGCAGTATTTATAGTCTTTATCACAAATAACAAATATTATTATTGGTCGGAATAGTTCCTCTATTTATACTATATATGGTACATAAGGAAATTTAACTAACGTCAATAACTGTTCCTTGGCTGTTAGCCGTGTGGGAACGGATACATTGGTAAACCAAACTACGCACATACTATTTCCTTAACATTTTTCTGTCGTTTATGACTCAACAAAATGTAAGACAAATTTTTTGAGTTTTTTTCTCATTTTCTAGATTTTCCAAAACATTTCAAGTGTACAATAAGTGCACAATAAGTAAATTATACATTTTATGGCATTTACATGAAATTTGCATGTCGACTACATACAGAATACTATACAATGGTAATATCAGAATTTACCATAATATTTTAGAGTGTGTAATTAATTTGTTTTTTAAATGTTCGCCTGGACACTGTCACAATTCTGCATTCTACACAACTAGAATGAATTTTTGGTTTTTCTTCTTTAAAACATGACTTACAAGACATGTCCTATATTTAACATAATTTTTTATTGAAAAGGAAGAATACTTGAAAAATTTCTCATGGTTGTCTTTACAATTAATTCTAGAAGACAATCAGATCATCTATAAGAAATAGGACATTTTTTAAATGCAAAGGCTAAATTACAGAACACTCTGCTTCATATATATTTTCATTGTACAGCTGTCTAAGTAGTCATTGTATTCAAGTAGACTGCCTGTACAAACTTTGTGTGTCAGTTAGACAAATTGTTAAACACCTTCCTAAGTAATTATATAACTCAGTACCTCCTTTTTCACTGCAACATGCGGTGGCGTCGATAAAGGGGGGCCTGGGAAGGTGGCACGTGCCCTCTAAAAATTGGCTGTGCCCCCCAAGTGCTCCTCATTTGAATTTTAGATAAGAGCCTTCATATGCATCATTCGAAGTTGAAAAAGAAGCACATGGCATTAATGTAGTACTTACAGAATTCACACAACTTTACTGTAAAGGGAAGCATTTCATTAGATGCGCAGACTAGTTTGCGTTGCATTTACTCTCTCTGGGTTGTTAGCCAAGTGGTGAAGATTTTAATGCCTTAAAAAAGAAAAAAAAAACAATAATTCTAGAATAATTCAAGTCTCTAGTGGGCAAGGAAGAACAAGTACTATTGTGATGCTTATCATGAACCACATTACACCATATCATAGAACTTGTATGAGATCGTGGACAAGTATACTCGTAGACTCAAACTTGTAGACACAAAAATACAAATATAGCAATGACTAAGAGTAAGGCTCATGAAAATACTGCAATTCTGGGAGTATTATAATATGAAAACATTTCATTAAAATCAATAATCAATCTACGTAACGTTATAACACGAAAAATGTACAAATCTTCCAAGGTTAAACTGGGAATAAAGTAAATGGTTTGAACCCGGGAGTATCGTTACATGTTTGTAAATGATGATCGTCCAGGTTAATATAGTCCTTAGAAGGACTGTTTTTGTTGTTGTTGACTGACGTTTTGACAACCTTAGCGGTAGTCATCTTCACAGTCAAATGAGGAGTAAACGTCAGGTTAGCCGTATTTGTTATCTGGTTCTTACGTCATTGTATTGTTTGTACAGGAAATGTGTACACACATTCACAATGACAGTACACAATTCCTGTTCACACAATACAATGACGTAAGAACCAGATAACAAATATGGCTAACCTGACGTTTACTCCTCATTTGACTCTGAAGATGACTACCGCTAAGGTTGTCGAAACGTCAGTCAACAACAACAAAAACAGTCCTTCTCAGGACTTTACCAACCTGGACGACCATCATTTACAAACATGTTGTTAAACTGGGAAGTTATAAAATTGAAACTATTCATGTTGTGATAAATATTTCAAAAATATTCCAGTGCAGAAGAAATTTTTAGCGCCATTTCGCTAGTGACTGACCTAGAACAATTTTTGTGCCTTTCCACTCCCAAAATCCTGGCGACGCCACTACCAAAATGTAGCCAAATGCCTAAATGCAGGAAAACTAAACTGTCCAATTGCGTTGTTTTCAGCTGCCATCCTCGATATTCATTTACACGTACAAGTAAAACTGTGACATTACGTAGCTAAGTTTGATTTTCCACAATTTTAGTTGTCTGTAAACTCTAATTGAAGAACCAATTTATTTTGATATTAATAACTTTATGACCCTTAGATGCAGTCAAGAGAAGAAATTAATAACTTCTACTTGCAGAAAATACTTACAAATGTCGTTAAAAAGAAACTTGTTGATCTTTTTATCAAAGAATGGAACACTCATTGCAGAAAGGACCACGGAGAATGGGAAAATACAAACGTCAGTGGTCAGAAGTTGTTCAATATTGAAAAAACAAAAGAGAAGCCTAAACCTCATGACAAATACATTCTGTCAAAATTTCAAGATGGTGACACCAGTAAGTGGGATTGTACAACACTGTTTGCAGCAATATTGTTTTCCAACTCAATTGGAACAAAACTTGACCCCAAATCTAAGGCTGCTGTGGATAAACTTCGTGTTATCAGAAACAACTTCATCCATGAAAATAAAGGAAAGGCTGATATCGAATTTCACACAATGGTTCGTAATATTAAAAAGTCGTTTCATAAACTAGGATTTTCTGACACTGAAATTAATGAAGTAAAATGTGAACGAAACAGATTTAGTTCTTTTCAAGTACTTCCTTGCAAATCAAATCACGATGTGGTTAAACGTACAGAGTTACTTAATCAAATCACAGCAGATCTCAACAACTTGCGCAGTACTAACAAAAATGAGCTAACATATTACTATATTTCTGGTAATCCTGGCAGTGGTAAATCTGAATTAGCTAGACAAATCTGCGAAGAAATGTATAACTCGTTTGACTGGGAAAATAAAACAACATTTGTGATGACACTCGAAGGAAAAGATATCGACTCTCTTTTAAAAACTTACGCTGAACTTTGTCAACGAGTAAGCAATGATAAAACTTTCATTGAAAATACTCTGAAAGAAGCAAAAAGCAGCGAAGAAAAAATTAAAGATTTTCAATTATTGCTGACACAACAACTGAAATCTTGGCAAACATGGTGGATTGTTGTAGATAACGTGGTTGAACTTCATAAAATTTATCCATTATTACCTCAAGTTGGTGATCATAGCTGGAAAAATGGTCAAATTATAGTAACTGTTCAAAATACAGATGCTATACCACCAGATGGAAATCTAAATAAACACATTTCAGTTAGTCATGGTATGAATGATGAAGAATGTCGACAAATTCTATCTGTCTTTTCTGATATTCATAATGAAGATGAACATATTTTAAAAGATTTATCAGAAAAATTCAATCGTCAACCGTTGTTCCTGGCAAATGCTGCTTCCTACGTAGGTGATGTAAAAAGTGCAAATCCGACATTCACGTGGGAGGAATATTTGTATAAGTTGAATGAAGGAAAGCGTCAGAAAATGGATGGCAATTTTCAAAAAATAAACTCAACTTACTTAGGAATGAAAACTGTTATGTTAGCAGTACAAAAAAATGCTGAAGAATCCATCTTGTTGGAACATGTTTTTAAACTTTTCTCTATAATATCTTTCGATCCCTTACCACAAGATGTTATAATACAATTTATTACAAGCATTGATCCACAAAAATCTGCAGAAGATGTCTGTCTTCAATTAAAGCATTGTTCTTTATTCCTTCAATCGGAAAACAACGACATCGGCCTCCACAGCGTTGTACACGAAGCCGTCGTAAATTATTCATCGCAGACATTCGGCTGTAAACAAAACGAAAACAATTCTGAAAAAACTGCAGCTGATCTTGCCTGTCAAGTTGCTTGGGCACTAAATCATTTTGAAGACAGAGAAGATGAAATCAAAATAATTCCACATCTTATTAAATTCATAACAAATTCATCATTTCAACATTTCCTAAATAAGTTGATCGATGTAAAAACATCAAAACGAAAACTTGATGAAAGAAATTGGAAATTTGCCAAATATTTTGTAGATGTTTTGAAAAGATTTTGCAACTATAAATTTGCAACTAAGGTACTTTATGAAATAGCAGAAATTCAAACTAAAGTGTTAGGTGTTGATCATATTGATGTTTCATATTCGTACAACGAGCTGGGTGGTTTGCTTTGGAAGAATGGAGAATATGAAAAAGCGAAAGATTTTCTCGAGCGAGCAATGAGAATTCAAACAAAAACATTTGGACCTGACCATGTTAATATTGCGACAACGTACAACAATCTGGGTTTGGTTTATGATCATATAGGAGAGCACGAAAAAGCAAAAGATTTTTATGAACGAGCGATGAAAATTGAAACGAAAACATTTGGACCTGACCATGTTGGTACTGCGAAAGCGTACCACAATCTGGGTTTGCTTTACTATAATAAAGGAGAGTACAGAAAAGCAAAAGATTTTTATGAACGAGCGATAGAAATGATAACAAAAGCATTTGGACCTGACCATTTTGATATTGCGATGACGTACAACAATCTGGGTGCGGTTTACAGTAAAATGGGAGAGTACGAAAAAGCAAAAGATTTTCATGAACGAGCGATGAAAATTCAAACAAAAGCATTTGGACCTGACCATGTTAATATTGTGGAAACGTACAACAATCTGGGTTCAGTTTACGGCTATATGGGAGAGTACGAAAAAGCAAAAGATTTTTATGAACGAGCGATAGAAATTCAAACAAAAGCATTTGGACCTGACCATGTTAATATTGCGATACCGTTCACCAACCTGGGTTCGGTTTACAATAAAATGGAAGACTACGAAAAAGGAAAAGATTTTTATGAACGAGCGATAGTAATTCAAACAAAAGCATTTGGACCTGACCATGTTAATATTTCGCCAACGTACAACAATCTAGGTTCGGTTTACAGTAAAATGGGAGAGTACGAAAAAGCAAAAGATTTTTATGAACGAGCGATGAAAATTCAAACAAAAGCATTTGGACCTGACCATGTTAATATTGCGTCAACGTACAACAATCTAGGTTCCGTTTACAGTAAAATGGGAGAGTACGAAAAAGCAAAAGATTTTTATGAACGAGCGATGAAAATTCAAACAAAAGCATTTGGACCTGACCATGTTGATAATGCGAAAATGTACAACAATCTGGGTTCGGTTTACTATAATATGGGAGAGTACGAAAAAGCAAAAGATTTTTATGAACGAGCGATAGAAATTGAAACGAAAACATTTGGATCTGGCCATGTTAATATTGCGACAAGGTACAACAATCTGGGTTTGGTTTACGAAAATATGGGAGAGTACGAAAAAGCAAAAGATTTTTATGAACGAGCGATGGAAATTCAAACGAAAACATTTGGACCTGACCATGTTAATATTGCGACAACGTACAACAATCTGGGTTCGGTTTACGATAATATGGGAGAGTACGAAAAAGCAAAAGATTTTTATGAACGAGCGATGGAAATTCAAACGAAAACATTTGGACCTGACCATGTTAATATTGCGACAACGTACGTCAATCTGGGTTCGGTTTACGAAAATATGGGAGAGTACGAAAAAGCAAAAGATTTTTATGAACTAGCGATAGAAATTCAAACGAAAGCATTTGGACCTGACCATGTTCATATTGCAAAAATGTACAACAATCTGGGTTCGGTTTACGATAATATGGGAGAGTGCGAAAAAGCAAAGGATTTTTATAAACGAGCGATGGAAATTCAAGCAAAAGCATTTGGACTTCTATTTGGACATTTTTCAGAAACGTACAAGAAGATAGAAGAGGATGAAATGAATTTGTAGCTCATTTCCAATGAAGAATAAAATCAATTTCTCTTTTTATTTTAGGTATGTCTTCTTTATACTAAAGCTGATTAGAAACAGTTGCATTGTAGATTTCTTTTAAAGGTTCAAATAACAACAGTCGCATATTTATAAAAGATATAAATATATTATTGACAATATTCAAACATTTGTATTTTAACGTTTTCAACAGTCATTTATTCACTGGAACAGTTTTTATTAAGAAACTTGTATGGAACTGTCAAAGTATATTTATGAGTTTAGTTTGCAATATCTAGCTATTCAGAAGTTGTGAAGTTCCTTAAAATGAATGTTGTTGGGTTATTTTCTTGTATAATAAGAGTAAATACTGATCTTACAGCAACCATGATCCTGTAACATCCCTTTTTGAAATGCTGAAAAGCCCACAAGATTTGCTTTGCTATATAAGTATGAATACAGTCTTTTCTATATTTATTTCTATTCATTCATACAATTTACAAAATATAATAATTCTATTGATGAGAATTGTAGTTGTTTGAAATGGACATGCAGTTATTGTTATTTGATTCAATCATACTTGATTTGGGGACTAACATCTTAATTGTCGTGACAATGTTTGTTTTTTTTTACTTTGGAGAAAATATTTATTTAATGATTGATTCAATAAAACTTTATTATAGTTCAAAGTATAAAGGCAATGTAAAGTAAAAGTTATAAATAACCTGAAGAAGAAAAAGCAGGATATCATTGCCATTGCATTGACAGAAGTGAAAATGACACATTTAAGTGTCCAACTACCAGATTTTAGACTACCAGATTTACTAATATATAAAAAATCCCAGCAGTGGCGCAGGATACTTTTTAATTGGGGCACAAATTCATATATGCATGTCTTAATCCGTAGAAAACAATGGATTTCAAAGAACTTAATGTGGCACAACATCTTGAAGAGCTCTGGCATTGTGTGTAACAGTTTGTATTTCATTTTGCAAGGAACTTCTTATTTTTTTTCCAAAAAATTATTTGAACATTAAAGAACTTCTGTACAAACTATAAAAGTTTATATTAGGAATATATTTCTAGGGCAACACCCTCCTTTAAAGTATGTATCCATGTTCAGGAGTGAATGACATGACCAGACATTTTTGGCTAATGTCTTTACAACTGATAAGAACAGTAAATGAGTCATTTCTACTGGTGTCTTTACTACTGATATGGACAGTAATGAGTCATTTTCATTGCTATGACATTCATGTCTTGCTTTTGCTATAGTTTATACTTTACATTGCTTTGAAACTGATTCTCCCAGCTACATAAATGATTTCGTAGTCTTGATGTGAGTATGGACCGCCACAATAATAGCATTTTCCCGTCGATTCAGATTGGATGGTAGCCAACATGTCGTTATTTTTGTCCTTTGACTCGATATCCCGTGCTTGATAAGTGCTTTGCTCATCTCTACGGCCGTCCAGCAAAATATCCCTGAGTTTATACTCGGGATCTCTTATGCTTTCTTTCGTATCCACGAAGAAGACTCCGCCATGATTATCTGTTGTTCCACCTCAAAGTCAACATCATCAAAAGCACATGTTTGAGCTAATTTCCTCAATCGTGTATGAAATTGGTCTAACGTTTCTGATTGTTCTTGTTTGGCTTCGCGAAATTTGTACACTTCATATCGCCGATTTTTTTGAGGCTCAAAATATTCAGTTAATTTGGTTTTAGCAAGTTCATATTCGCTGTCGTCGCCTGTATCGTTGAGCTGTCGAAATATTTCACGAATGTGTGAACCATCTTGACAGAGAAGTAATGCTCGTTGTTGCTTTTTATCTTTAATTTCACTCGAGATAATAAACATTTTAAAATCGGCAAACCATGTGCTCCATCGAGTTGTCAAGCTTACACCAAGTATTTATTTAACAAAAACCTTTTTTAAACATCTTTATTATCCAGCGTACGTACGTTGGACGGCTATTACCCACGTATATATAACATTAATTTTCATCATATACTTCATCGTATAACTATCAAAAAGTTACATATGACTGTTCAACAAGTATTTATTTAACAAAAACCTTTTTTAAACATCTTTATTATCCAGCGTACGTACGTTGGACGGCTATTACCCATGTATATATAACATTAATTTTCATCATATACTTCATCGTATAACTATCAAAAAGTTACATATGACTGTTCAACAAGTATTTATTTAACAAAAACCTTTTTTAAACATCTTTATTATCCAGCGTACGTACGTTGGGTGGCTATAGACCCATTGCATGAGTAGTATACAGAGCGTCGTTTCTGGCTCACCTCAACTTGAGAAAGCGTCGTTTCTGGCCCACCATAACTTGAAAAAGCATCGTTTCTGGCGCACCTCACACCTTGGGACCTATTATACGTAAATCTAAGTGCCCCAACCCTAGTTCGCGTACGTATGCTAGCATAATTACAGTTACAATATTCTAAAAGAAGAAAGAAGAAGTCGCCCCAAACAACTCTTTAAAACAACACGAACAGGAACTGGAGTGCACTATTATAATAGCGCATCAGAGCTTATCGACCGCCTTCACCTTTCCTACAAGTCTGTAGAGGCTGGTAATGACTCTCGTGAATTGAAAAACGATATTGAAGCGATTTTAACAAAACTGCTAGAAGAAAGTGAGATATCGAAAAGTTATTACCGAAAAATTAGAAATAAATACGTGCGTTAAAATTTCTGCTCATATATTATACAAAGCTATTGCTTAGTGTTATCAATACAACTATAATGTCTGGAGCATTATTAGAAGACAAAATAAGCATTGCGGCGAACGGTAGACAAGAGAATAACTTTCAAATTGTCTTTAATCCAGCCATATCTTTAGATATTAACAAAAAATATCAATTGGCTCTTACTGAAGCTAGTTTGTGGAATTCGTTGGAAAAATGTCACTACAAAAAACAACCAAATTGAGTTTGAGATTAGAAATGGAAACTATGTTGATACTAATGGTGCACAGAGAGGAGAGCTTAAACAGACTCCTATTCAACGGGAAAAAATCACTTATTAATTCAAGTATAGTAAACGGGAATTCTAGTGATGTCATTAAATCATTTACTCCAAACCGAGGACCAGGACGTTGGTTGAAAATAAGTCCCAGTCCACCGACCTATTTACCAGTAATAGAAACTAGCCTTATTACTCGAGTGCAAATGAACATCACTGATCAGTCAGGAAATGAGATTGATTTAAATGGTGAGCAAGTAAGTTAAACTTTAAACATCCGTCCGAAAATATGATTATACACGCTCATAAGCGGATTCCTATTCAAAGCTGTTGTTATGACAACAGCTTATTTTCTGTATATAATATACTTAATGATGATAATTCAAGCAAGTACACGTGGTATAGTTCGTCGGAAATTCGTCAGGGGTCATTGATAGGAAACCTCGTGGACCTTGCTGGGAAAGCAAAGGGTGCGCTATTTATTACGGGGAAGTCCGCAGCTGCAGCCTTAGGATCTCGCGTAGGTAAGTTTGCTCCAAAAATCAAGAATGTGGCCGTGGCGGCTGGTAAAAAATTCGTGACATGACTACAGCAGCCAAAGAGGCCGTTATATCGACTGAAAAAGAGCAGTTCTCGCTTGAAAACGTAAGCAGTCTTGTTGCCGATCTTGCTCGCGTGGATGTTAAAGGAGTGGCTAGAAAAGCTAAATCACGTGCATCTGCAGTGGCTCGTGCTGGGGCTGAAGCTGGTATTATTAGTGCAAAAACGCGCGCAAAAAGTGCTCGCAGCGCCTTAACGAAAGAAGCTAGATCTAAACTTAATGAGCAGGTTGGGACTTCTGAAGCTAGAAAAGCTCTAGTATCGCGCGCTGAAAGCCTTGCTAAGCAACAGCTTACTTCTCGAGACTTAGATATTCTAAGCAACTTAGTTTCTGGTAATGGTATGATGTACGCTTAAAAATGTCTGCTGAGTTGATTATTTATGATATAATAGCAGACAAAATTTTTTTGATATATGTATACTGTACGAAGTACAAAACTATAGCAATGAGTACGAACATCATATCTCCTGCACTTCGACTCTTTGACGAGCCTGTTGTCGATTGCTCTATTGAGCGTCTTCAGTAAGCGAAAATTGCTCCCCGCGATCAAGATTACGACAAGAAACATGTTAATATAAATACCGAAGAGAATGACATGCTTCTGTGGTTTCACAGAGTCGTCCTTGAGGTTAGGAGTCGTGTAGTAACAAACGCTGGCGCTGACTATAATGACAACGACAACGTCGCTTTAACAAATGGTGTCTGGAGCCTGTTTCAAACGGTTCAGCTCCAAGTTAACAAAAAGACTGTTGAAGAGTTAAATCAGTTTGCTTCAATTGCCAACACTATCATGCAGCTTGTGACTGTATCGGACGATTCGTCCAGGAGCACTGCTACAAGCGCTTTCTGGTACCGCGACACTGGGACTGGTTCACCTAATCCTAATAAGTTTGTGAACAGAACCAACGCTCAGCTGCTTCCAGCTGCTGGTGTGCCTAATGCTACTGGTGTGATTGGCGCCCTCTTTCGGCAACACTTTAACTTAGATCTTAATGCAACATAAAACCCTAACTTCAACATTGGGTTTGCTGCTTGCCGCCAGCTTTGCGCCGGTGCTAAAGCCGTCACCATGATGTTTCCTCTCGCCGACATCTTAGGCTTCGTCAAAGACATTGACTCGCTTTCTTAGGTGTAAAGTTTACTTTGAACCTTACTCGCGACACTGCTGAAAACACGTTTCATAGAGCAAATGGGGTTGGTGCTGGAAAATTTAAGATAAATCATCTTTCGCTTTGGGTTCCTTACATCAGGCCTTCAATCGAAGTGCAGACTATGATAGAAAGCAAGTTGGTCTCTGGATACACACGCGTGCTGTATTTCGAGCAAAATCGTATAATCAAAAACGATTTGGCCCTAATCAGACCATTGCATCGTGGCTTGTAACAACAAACAGTAGTGAAGAGCTACCAACTCACATCTTTGTGGCTTTCCAAGACGCTGGACGCTTTAACAATCAAGAACAAACTATACATCTCTTTGACTATGCTAATTTAAGTCGAATTTATGTTGAGATCAATAACACTCAAAAGTATCCTGAAAAAGAGCTTGATGTTAATTACACAGCTGTTAACAGCAATTACAGCAGAGCCTACATGATGTTTCAAGTCGCTGCAATGAAGTACAGCAATCCAGATACAGGCTCTCAAGTACGCTTAGGCGCCTCTGCAAGCCTGTTTCCTATTTACCATTTTGATGTAAGTCATCATGCCGATGTTTTGAGAAAAAAAGAGGCAAACATTAGAATTCGTTGGACCTTGAACCAAGCTTTTCGTAGCACGATTAATGCTGGTGGCAGCAATGAGTATAACATGTTCTGCTTGGTGCTTAGCGAACGATTTATTCGACTTAATGGGATAAACGGTAAAATGGACATAATCGTTTAGACTGTTTGTCTGATGTGATATGTTATTATTTAAAATAATTAATGATATTAAAGAAACAAAAAATTTTTAGACTGTTTATATACGCAAATTGTTTTGCATGTGCACAAAAATGTCGGACATTAATAACGCAATATTTGTTGAAGCTCTCAGACCCGCCATGGAGCGAGTAATCACTCAGGAATTTAAAGGCGCTGGTATTTATCTTCCTGGGTCAAGAAGTATAGAAGGCGGTAGCTTTATTGGAAATCTTATTGGAAAACTCATACCTACGGTCACTAAACTCATACCAAAAGTGTTACCGTCTCTAGGCCTAGCAGCTATATCAGGTGCTATCACCGGCAGCACGCAAAAAGCAGTTGCTGGTAGTGGTGTAGTTAGGAAAGGTGGTGCAGCTGCTAAAGGTGGTGGACGTAATAACTACACAGTTCACGGCGTTACACTTTCAACGGCTCAGAAAAATAACCTGGCAAAGGCAGTCAGAGACGGAACCGGAGTGACTATACGACTTACCAAAAAAGCACTTGACGGCCCTGACATGCTTATGCTTACTAAGACGCAAATTAAGCGCATAATGGGTGCAAAACCCACAGGATCTGGGTTGGATCTAAAATTGTCTAAGAGTCAGATTACAGCCATGGTTTCATTTTATAAAGTACTAGCAATTTTTCTCGCAATAGTCACCATCTTCTGTAATAAAAATAATCACTATGTGTACTTTACCTTGACAAAATACTAATGTCACTTAAGTTAGGTTCCTTCTCTTTGAGCAAATAATAATGTTCACTATCCTTAGCAACAATTTCTTTTGCAGAATCTAAAGAGAAACAAACAAACATCAATTTATTATCTTACTAGAGAGGTTACTAAAATTGACCTCTTTGTTTTAGAATTAAAATCAATCTATTCAAAAAATCCTACCAATTTTAGGCTTTTTGCAATGGGTTGATTTCTTAGATAACAACTTCTGGTTTGATGTCGTTCAGCAAGGCTAAGTGCAACATTAGTGAAGTTTCCAAGGTATGAAGCCAATCTTTTAAAGTAACTGTGCTTTGCTTCATATCGCATGCACCAGCTCGAATCATTGGTCCAAATCTGAAAAATCAAGGACTCATGTTAGCTAGAGGGAAACCAATGATGTAATTTTACATGCATTTTGAGTTACATACCATATTTTTATTTATAAACTAAGATACAAACCAGCAAAATCATACCTGTAAATATGAGCTGGGTAATGAACCAAGTAATGCATCTTGGGTATAACTGAAAGCCCAGGATAAAGCTGGGTGAATTTCCACAAAAATTCCTTCAGGTATCCTTCCAGGATAGCAAGTTCATCAGTGTTTGTGATTGGTGAAAAAACAATGTCAACAATTTTAAGGAGCAACAGAAAATGCATCCACTTTTCTTCATCCTGAGGAATGGCACTGCCGAGAGCTAAAGGAAGGAATTTTCCAAGGCACCACATTTGTCTTGCTATAAAAGAAAAACCAATCATTTAAATCAAGGGTGATGGTATTAATGCTCGTGACAATCACTACACCCTACCTTTTGCTTTAAACTATTGTTTTCACTCCTCAAAGTTGTCCGGTGATTGGTGATGGCTTGTTTTATCATTAAAATATCCATAATCAAAAGAGTTAATTCTTTCATTAAGTTGCTCCACTGTTAAAATTTTTCTTTAAATATGAAGTCCTTCAGCAATTCTTTACATACATACTGAAGTACTCCTTCTAGTATATCATGCATTGCATCACCTGGCATGCCATCTGCTACATGAAAATACCTAGAGTTGAAGAATTGATCTCCTGCAAAGCCCATATGCTTTACTCAGTTCTGGGTTTTCTTCAATCAGTTCACATTGGCGGTCATGACCAGCACAAGTTCAAGTGTAAAATGTTTTTCTAAAACTGAAAGACTTACTTTAAAGTGTATGTTCCTGGTCTGCTAAAACCATAATAAAACATTTGATCTATGTTGAAACAGGTTAATAATGTATTATCATAAACATACATACCTTCTGCTTTATTTGTTCAGTGGTCCCCATGCATTGCCGGCATTTCAAATGTGCACCTGGACCTTCTTTGAATCCACCCATGAGTTGTGATCCAAGATTGTCTCCAGAAACCAACACAATAGTCCCAGAAAATGACATAGGTTCACCTTTAACAATGAACTGGTGACCACCATCCTCAAAAAGAAGTGTGACAGTTAATTTTAAGCAATTTTATCAAACTACTTACTCTGCACAATTATCAATAACAGGTAATAAGCTAAAAAACAATAAATAGGATCACTTACTTGTTCAAGGTATTCAAGGTCATTCATGAAAGGCTCCAAGAGAATGTCAATGCCATATTTTTTGATAATTGGAACTGTTGCCATAAGGAGTAGGTGAATGTTATCACACTGGGATCGATATCGAGGATCAATATTTCCAGTTGTGTAGTAAACAACTCCTGTCATACAGAAATAATGGCATATGATGTAATAAGAGCTTCTTATAGCCTTTCATTGCTCATACACTTTTTTACATTTGAGTGACTGATTTAGTCACTATGATGTCATTAAACTATTACCTAACTTATGCTTTCCAGTTTTACTACCAAGGGCATTTGCAATTTCCAACTCATCATAGTAAAGCATGATTTGTAAAGCAGTTGAGTCCTTGGAAAACAGAGGATGGGTTTTGAAATACTGGCCATCGCAAACATCCTCAATCACATCATCATGTTTATGTTGCGAAGATGACCATGGTTTAGCTGAAATTGAAATCGAAGAATGAAAATATTAAATTTATTAATAAATTAAATTTATTATTAACCAGCAATGGAAATGTCTGGTGGTAGGATGGGTGCCTTCCTACCATCAGACATTTCAAATTAAAATCAGGCTATTTTCATATTTTCATGAAATAATTGGAATATATTTTTGGAAATGTGCTCTAATAAACGCATGTCATCATTGTTTTTGCTTTCATGGAAACTAACACAGTAAAACACACATAAAGTTCCTTTTATGGTTATACATAGAACATGTATTAATATTTTGCAACCCTGTTATTGATATGGGTACTTGCAAAGATGTAGTTGTCATAGTTTGATAAACTTGCCAACATAAAAAAAAACACAACCATGCTATTAACAATCTGACCTGTTCAAGTACTCCTTTTACATTGAGCATTTTTTCCAAGGATTTAAGCAGTGGTATGTACATGATTTCATCATCTTTAATAACCTCTTTGTACACAGTCCTTGAACGTCTTTTCACAACTCTGTGTCCAAGTTTAATTCGTCTGGGTTGCTACAATTAAAATAATGATTATGCATAACAAGCACTAAAGAGCAGCTGGCTCAAATAGGTTAAAAATCTCAAAAACTTTATCAAAAACTCTAAACATTCTAAAAAGTCAAAAACATAGAAATAAAACTTACAACTAAGCCAAAATGCTCCTCAAAATAAGCATTCTGTTTATACTTTGTGGAAATATGTTTGAATGGATTTGAGATAGCATGTCCTTCATCAAATAATTCATCAAGACCTGGCACATCATTATAATTTAATCCAGCTTTCTCTAAGCAATTTTGCAAACCGTGTTTAATTGCTTTGACTGTTCCTTGGACAAGTTCAGTGGAATCTTCTACAATGTTATCCACACATTTTTGTGTGAGCAGATTGATTTCTTTTGTTTTTAGAAGAAATTGAGCCTTTTTGTGTTCCATTGCTTGAACAGAGTCATCAAGTTCATTTTCCCTGTTGAATTCATCAATTAAGAGTTCAAGGCCATCCTCATCAGGACAAAAATTGTTGTGAGTGCTACTCGCTGATTCAACGCAACATAGATGACGTGAGTTTAAGTCAACATTGGCGTGCTTTCTTCTAAGATGACTTTTGTAAGAGTTAACCTAAACAACAAATCCGTGAACGCACTGAATAAGTAAATATTTTTAACAAATAACAAACAAATCAGTGTCGTATCAAGAATCAAAAGCTTACCTTAGCGAAGGTTGAATTACATTCCGGCACTTCGCAGAGAATATGCAATCTGGCATCGTGTTCATGAACAGCGACCAAATGATGCAACATTCCAGCGACAGACGTTGAAAAAATCGTTGCACATACCTGACAACACAATCGTGGCATAATTAATTGAATTTTACGAATATTATTGCGTCACTAGTCAAGTGACAACTCCGTTACCGTTTGTTAGAGCAATGAATGAGTAAAATCAGATCAATATTAAGTGTCATTAAGTGCATTTCTTTGTCCAATTAGTTGCGAACTTGCGGCGATTGGTCGATTTGGTCACATGACATCCCCTTACGCAGAGCGGCACGTGCCTGACTTCCTGTTGCCGATGTGTGTTGTCGCGTGGCGTGTTTCTAAACTTCTTGTGCTTTGTTGAAGTGCATTTAAGCGTTTAAACTCTTCTATTGTGGGCAAAATGGAAAGCAACAAACAATCATCTGTCGCTGACATTATTCTTTTTTTGAAAAACAACGAATTGAATGAAATTGTCGAAGATTTTAAAGGTATTGTCTCATCCTGAAATGTAGGTCGCATGTGTGAGGGTTGTTGTCTCGTGCATAAATCTAGTGTAGAAAATAATTCAAAATTAGATTTATAGATGACTTGCCTTGTTTACGTTTTGCTAGCAGGCAGATTTGGTCGAGCGCTTTTAGAGAATACCAACAGCAATAACGTAATTTCATTGACGTTTTGCTTCTTATATTTTAAAGCTAATCAAGTCGACGGCGAGGATTTTTCAATTTAGAACCACATGATATTTATCAGATGATTCCTCGAATAAAACTTCACAAGAAGTTTACGTGTATTTGGAATGACGTTACTCAAAAGGTAAATTGAAGCCTTACAGGTTTTCTACATAAAATGGTTCAAAATACTTGGTTTGTTATTGGTTTGTTGATTATATTTTTTACTACCATGTGCTTTGATTGTGTCGTTATAAAATCACCAGAAGTAAAATTTCAGGCTTCATCTATTAACAGGGGTCATCAGCTTCAACAACACACTCTTGTGTCACTTCCAACAACATCAGAACCATCAACAAGGATGTGAATCCAGACATTCCGAGTAATTCAGCTGATCATCAAGAAAATCATGATGAGGTATCAAGCAACCCAGCTTCACTTGTTTGTCTTGTAATTGTGTGGATCCAGATGAACCATTGCTCCCATTTTGCATGAAATAGCTTAAAAGCATTTAGTCTACTTACTATATATTGTTTTGTTCCTCTATGCATTAGTTATGTTGTATTATGTTTGATGAAGAGTCACTATAAGTAGAATTTATGATTCAATCCTCCATTAACAGGGCTTGTCACAATCAGCTTGAACAGTGCACTCGCACATCTATTCAAGCCACATAAGAACCATCAACTTGGATGTAAATGAAGACATTGTTCTTAGTACTTCAGCTGATCATGAAAATGATGAGGTATGAAGGTTGAAGCCATTATTTCTATACAATATTTGTTCTAATGCTAGTTCATAAATATACAATGTATGTAGTTCATAAATATTTTGCTGCGTTATTTCTTTACTTCTTTATGTTGTATGTAAAGGTTGAATTTTACTATTTTTTAAGAACATTTAACCAGAGAGACATCTCAAGGACAATGTTCCAAGGAGTCACTTGACAGCTAATGTGAACAATTCCAATTGGTTGTCCAAGTTTTGTTTGCCAACAAGAGTAAGTAGCATTAAAACTTAGTTTTTTACACACTAAAAGTTTAAAATATGTTAATAAAGATTGCCATATCATATTAAACCATGCTGTTTGTGTGTAGTGGGAACCAGCAGTGGAGGAGGCATTAAAAAGGCAGGAACTAAATCCAAATGAAAAAAATGCATTAAACAGGCAATTAACTTCTTCTCCAGCTGAAAGCAGAGTTGGGACATATTTTGGAGAACAGTGATGTTGCACAAGACATGAACGAACGATGGAATTTGCACAAATATAAAATGCTGTCTGCTATTAAAAAGACAAAGCAAAAGAATGTCAGCAGTATGCTTGAAGAGCTGGAGGATTGTCCAGTTGAAGATGAGAAAGGTTGGTGTAAAAATCAATAAGTAAAATCTCTATTTATACTGAAGTGTTAATGCTTTAGAGAGAGATAATGGTAATATATTCATTCTATGCTATGTTGATTATTTTAGAGGTCAAGAACCGGTGTATAATGGCATGTTTGCCTTATGTGTTAGATGACCAACACACCCATCGAGATATGACCAAAAAGCTATTTTGGGACATTGTTGATGTAAGAGTTGATATTGTCACAAATAATATTTTCTGCATAAATGTGTGAAAAAATTGATAAATAATTTTATCTCTGTTGAAGGGTAAAAGCTTGGGGGAAGTTCAAGAGATCATTAACAAAAGTTTGTCTCCTGGACTCCTATCAACAGGAACATTAAGAAACATTCATTCAATAATGTTGGTGGCTGAGGGGATGATTGTGGCAAAGCTGAAAACGGAAAATATTGTCAAGGCAGTTATTATTTTACTTAGTTCTTTTTATACTTTTAATGCTGAGTATCCTAAAGGCGTTAATGGACATTGCAAAAATGTATTTATTCTTTTAGAACATTTGCTTTTAAATTCAAAATGCAATTGTAAGGCTCAATTGCCAACTTTTGTCGATCATTTTATTTCTTCTATGAAGTAGAAAACTTTTGTAGTGTTAATTAATGGCATGTAGTAGAGATTTTAAGTATTCTGTGTTTGCAAAAAATGTGCTATTTATAATTGTGTGATTGATTTTCTTTAGCTTAGTTAAAAGATCCTCTATATTGCTCAAATGGTCATGGATATGCACCTGAAAAAATGCTTATTTAATGGTAAAACAACCAAATAAAATTGGTCAAATAAATTGGTAAATTTAACCATTTTGTTTTGGTATTTTTGACCAATTTAGGAATTGGTTGTTTTGACCTATAAAATTGTTCTTCTCAGGTGCATTCAAATGACCAATTTTTTGGTCATTTTGACCAATCTATTTTACTGTGTAGAACATTGGATTCCAGGGTTAGAATATTACTTGATCATAAAACTAAATGGCATTTTCAAATCTTGAAAAAGTTTGACGTAAAATAATATTAAATATATAATTTTATTTTGACTATGTTGATTAAATCTACTTCATTCAGTAGCTAAATAATTGCAGGCTACCAACATGTATGAATTGCGTGCCAATTTTTTTAAATGTATGCCATTGTATTTAATAAACGCAGTGTTTTGGGAGATGTACCCAAAAGCCAAGAAATGAAAAGAAACGTGAATATTCATGATAACTACGATAAATAATGTTATGACAAATGTCTTCACTTGGCCCCAAATGTGGACACTGTTTTTTTTCCAAACCAAAACGAAATGGGAGGGAAAACCGGCGGATCCGGTAAAAAACCCTCCAATAAAAGAAAAATAAAAAATTTAGAAGAATTGCCTCAAATTTTTGTAGTGTTTTATGATGTTTTATATTTTTGTTGTTTTCAATGATCCCGATGATCTACTTTAACATGCAGCGTAGTCAGATCGTGCGTCTTATACAGTCGTATAAAAAATTTAAATTTACGGAGCAATAAAAATGTGGGCTGACTACCCTATTGACACAGCAAATATTTTTTGTTCGTACAAAGAAACGCAAACTTTTGTAGAGCACAAAAAATGAAATAGTGCAGAGTGTTAACAAAAATTGTAATCAATAGACGAAAAACGAAAACTAATAGCAGCCATATATAAATCATGTATAAAAATTATTCAGTACGTAGGGACCTGACCATTCACCTGTCCATAACAATTAAAAATGAAATGACTAAAGAGACGTTATGACTTGCATAAAAATAATTTTTGATGTCTGCTAGACTTTATTCCATTGAAATTTTCTATGTTGCCTCATTAATTAATAGCTGGCTTTCACTCGTGTGTTTTGTCAGAAAATTTAACAATTGTGAACATTTAGTTATACGGAAATTTTTAACGGTCGAATTTGAAAATGCGTTATACTGATAGACATTATGGATAAATAAATTAGCAAGTGTGAATCTTATAATAACGACGCTTGTTTCTTGGTGTTTCTGCCCGACTTCGTCGTTCATTCATTGTCCAGTTAGAAGGCCTACAGACATAGCTACTCTATAAAAAACACGTTATAAATGTCAGCATAATGAAGGAACAAAAACAGAAATTAATTATATTGAAAAGAACAAAACTTTAATACCTGATTTCCAAGGGTTGTCCTGGTCAGTTTGATCCAGGCGACTTGGTCGGTCTCTTCCTTTTTTCACCGCGTTTTTACGTTGTATCGTTGAAATTAATTGTAAATTTTTTATCTTAGTAATTCAATGAACCCTACTTGCATCATTGCAATTTTCTTAATAAACGTTAAATAAAATTACTAAAAAGTAGCGAGTGAAAGCCAGCTATTTTCTCACAGCAAGTGACATCTTTTATTGACACTTTTTTAAGTTGGGTGTTTTCATGGTTAAGTTTCAAATTATAAAGATAGACCATCAGGATCCTTTTTAACTATCTCATGCAGTTACTCATACAAGTTAATTTAACACTTATATCTACTCAACTTACAAACCACAAGATATAGATCGTGTTTTTCCACTCGCTTGTTTTCCATCTTCGTAGAATGTAGTCCATTTTTATAGTGCAATCACTTCAATGTAAATGTTCATACGTACATATGCCGTTATGCGATGTCCATTCAACATGTCGATACCATTCCATACACGAAGTAAGGAGCATCATCAACCAATAAAGAAGCTACTGATATGATGAATCGCCATTTCGATAGACTACAATTCACAATGCACTGTTATGGTAACTTCAAGCGAAGGAAAAGGGACCGCCTTCAATACCCCAGTTTTATCATTACTCAAAGAATGCTTAGTGCAGAGTTGATCTTCTGTGAGTATCAGTTGACCACCTTTAGGTGGGTTCATATAACAATGGGGCCCATCATCATTATATGAACAAACAACTGACATCAACAAAGAATCCAAACTACAAATGAACATTCTTGGCCATGAATCACCATGACACATGAGTAATGACAAACTAGTAAGAGTAATTGAAGTGAATGACACAGGTGGTAAAGGGACTTTCACAACTCCATTCTTGTGGGATCTACAATATAAGAAAATATGAAACACATGTATGAGATTTCATGATGAATAACTCTGCATATGACGTTAGTTTGCGTTTTAAATTCTTAATCAGATATATTGAGAATGAGCAAATTGTTATATGTTTTCTGTTTGACTATTTAAACGGTAGAACATTCACCTTCATTGCACGAATAGCTTTAGTGAGTTGAGTTTGAACGATGTAACAAGTTTCACACGATCAAAGGCTTATAATCGTGATGAAAGCATTTTACAGTGAAAGCTTTCAGATTACGAGGCCTACACTAAGACCAGTTCATTATTCCATGTAACTCATACTTCAGTATTCGTCAGTAAAAAGACAGAATTTACCTTTCTTCCTACAACGTTAAAGTGAGTAATTTTCTGTTGAAGTAAAACACACGAATTTAAACATGTTAACGTTTCTTTAATTGACGTCATAACTAAAATTATTATTGTGATTGGCTCCTTAGGAGCATCTCACCTCACAAAGACAACAAGTAATCCTTCAATGCGTTTTTAATGGCCTGTTTCAAACATTGCATTTTACATGTGCCAATTTTAAACAAAAGATAATAAGAATTTTATCTCATTATCTTTTGTTTTAAATGCATTTTACATGTGAAATGCAATGTTAAACAGACAAAAAGCTGCATTATTGTCTTTATTAGTGATATGGAAACAATCTAATATAAACAATTATGATCAATAAAAGAATATGTTAAATTCGTTTTCAACAAAAAATTCAAATCAAATGACTACCTCTAAGGTTGTTGTAGGTTAAATATTCGCTGTGCAAATTATTTACCATCCAGTTATAATGGACTTTTCTCTAAATTTGACAATTTACAAGGTGTAAATACTGTGAAATCAACTCTAAAATCTCACAAAAAACTTTTCTCAATGACCAAAGAACGAAAACGGTCACTTTCAATTTCGCGTTGGAAATGGGCTCTTGGTAGATAAATGAAAAATGTGCCACTGGAAAACAAACAGTAAAATATGTTCGCAAAGTGAAAGTTTTAATGAGAAAAACATGTTATTTTATCATTATGAAAATGTTATCTATGTTCTTTACACATGCTTTCCATGACTTTGAAAAATGTTCAAAATACAATTTTACATGGGTAAACAAAGAAATTGTTCCCGTGAGATGAAACGTAACATGTAAAATTTACCTCCCATCTTTACTAAATGATGTTTGTCGAACGGCTGCTGTACATTTAGGATGAGAGAGAACTTTCTGCCTGCGTTGGAATTAAACAAATAAAATTGCATTAAGATGATGTATGTTGTTACCATTGAACATGGAACGTTACCTGAAGCAAATAATTAAACCCAAATCTTACATCCAGACACTTTGACTGCAAGTTTATTTAAAATTTATAAAAATATAAAGTTAAATTATAACACATCACAAGATCAAGTCTTATATCACTTTGTTTCGTTCATCGATAATTTCTTTAAATTCTTCCTCAAGACTCAATACAGCTGTTTCAATATCAGTGTGCGAATTAACGGTGTGCAATGTGCAATTTACACATCGTTTTAGCTAAAATGAAAACAATTGCATATCACTTTTTCAAACGATATGCAAAAAACTTCGTTATTGATTACTACCACATAAATAGAAAAAAGTTTTCAAGCTTAATCTTTACTGATCTTTACTTTATAAACGAGTGTGCTGCACGACATTAAAATCCATGTTGACACAATGTCATCAAATTCAAAGACGTCACTTTGAGACTGGGAAGTCTGTCAACAGTCAACATACATGGTGCTTATATGATTATGACAATAGGGGTGTAACACTTTATTAATGTCAATTTTTGCATTTGCGTTGTTTTGTAAACCATTACGTACTGTTTTTGGCATCATGGCTATTTTGAGTATTTTCAGTAAAATCAGGAAACATTTTGATTTTGATTCTTAACAGACAAAAAAAAATTAAATAAGCCAAATTTGAAAAATAAACCACAGGGAATTTTGATTTTGAATAAGCCTAACGTGAGAAAAAGAAGCCAAATTTGGCTCAAAATATTAAGAAAAACTGGCAACCTTGTTCAGCCTTACTTTTTGAGGTTACATATTGCTTGTAATATGACATAAATATGATGTTTTTTATCGTAAGTAAATATCAAGGATGTTGCTGTTAATAATCAAAAAGCAAAAGTATATTCGGTTATTCTCTTTTCAATTTTGCACAAAAAAGAGGAGAGAATAACATGCGAAAAAAATTTCTCTCATACATTTGTAACTGGCTCAGCGATTGTAGCGAAAAACATTGTCGTAAATCATATGAATTTGTGCACGTTTAAAAATATTAATTTAGCAATTAGCGCTGTATAATAATTAACGTAATATCGATTTGATAATGGCTCTAAAGAAACACTTTTGTCAAAAAAATTGCACATCGTTTTTTCTCAACTAATTCGCACACTGAATACGATCTAACGACAAAAAGTTGAATTTTACCTGTTATTAATTGTTAAGTAAAAGAAGTAAATAAAGAGAGCAGTTGTACACATCTTCATGTAACGATGACAATGTTTAAACTTGAAAACATGAAATTTATGCACTGAAACAGCTGCATTGTGGGATATATAAGTCAGAGCCTCATAAATCATAAATGTGATATAATATGAGAATGTATTGTGAGCTATACAATGATGTGACATGTGGGCGGCAACAGTGTCGCGTGTTTAAGTTGTTGTCATATCGCTTCCCCATAAAAAGATGTTATAAACCTAAGTAAAAATGAAGACATAAAGATAGTAAATTTTACTTTCAACATTTATTTGATTCAAGATGTCTTCAGCAATTACATCAACTTCAAGTTCACAACGACTGACTTTTTCACATAGGATCAGGCATAAATTTCTAAATAATGACAAATAACAAACATTAAAATGAATATCAACTGTAAAGATAGTTATCACAAAGAATCATTCCAAAGTTAAACTAATTTTTAAATGTAAATTCTGTAATCTGGATTGAGCATTGACTCTAAATCTTGGGATAAATCATACACATATGTCAAATTTAGGATTAAGGATTTACACAAATCCTTTTGGTTTCAATTAATCTTCAAGTGTAAAAATATGAATCAGACAAACCTAGGATAGTAATCTTTCATTCCAGATGTTGAGATGAAGGAAAATTGAGAAATGAATTTGGAGATGAACCATGAAGTGGAATTGATTTATTATTATATGAAAGATTAATCTATAAAATTTAATTTGATGGTAAATAATCATTTGTGGTGTTAGATTTTATAGAATGCTGAAAAATCAATAATGAAACTTTCCTGTTTTGAAGAAATTCCTCTAAAATGAACTTTTCTTACATGAAGTAAGTTCATACCATAAAGATTGTAATCAATTAGAAACTAAAATAAACGATATTTCAATATAATTCTTATAATGTAACTTAGTGAAAATCTATAGAAGTTGACCATCCAGGTAGGAAAAGACTAAAGAAGGTCAGTGGCATTAGTGTTGAATGACATTTTAACATTGTTGGCAGTAATCATCTCATCTAGATGTGAAAACATCAATCAAGACTACCCCCAACAGTCCTTCTCAATACTGTAGTATCCTTTATGATCAACATGAACAAACATGCAGCTATACTTCCACAATGTATTCAAACCATTCACTTTATTGACAAAATGTTTTGCACATGAAATTTACAGCTATAATCCATAATGGAATGTTTTTTTTGGACACCTGAGATCTGATGTATAATTATAGGAAAGTGGGCACCTATACATGCAAATGTTGCATCTCTGATGTCGGTAGAAATGTCTGCCCATTTTTTACTCCTATGTACAATACAAATATTGCTTTGATCAATTACTTTGAAAAACAATGAATGAGATTAATTTCTAAAGAAATAAACAACAAACTTTGCAGGCCCCTGTCTGGTTGCACAGTTTACAAACTAACCACTCCAGTCTGGGTTATAACAATCGAAGATGTGTTTTCCTCATTAATAATAAAAACAATAATTACCTGTAGAATATAAAAGACATGAGCTTCGTGTGGTTGAAATGACTTGTTCAATATAGCTCCATTCTGAAGAAGATCAACAAGTCTGAAAAATGAAAAATTTTGTCGTTTTATGTTAGAACAACATAAAAATATATCTTACTTGGGAATTATTCTTGGATTGTACAACTCCATCTTAATAAACTCTTCTTCATTCTCATGATAACCATAAAATGGTCTAAAAAAGATAAAATCATTTTGGGTGAATAATATTGAAACGTTATTGGGTCGAAGGGATTTTGTACATGATGTAAAGAAGAGAAAAAAGATTTAATAATAGTAAGTTTTGTCAACAAGGAGAAAACAAGGAAAATAACTTACAATAATTTTTAATTTTATCTAACCTGACTTTTATCAGAAGAATTTCTTCATCATTTGATATCCTATTTATTATCGTTTTTCCTAACACAAATGTTGACATAAAAACGTTTTGCTAGATATGTCTTTAGAAATTGCGCCTACTTGGAGTGAAAGGCACACATCTTTGCATTATTTTGTTTTCTGGTCTATAATTTTTAAATTTGTTGTAAGATAGACTATTTAAAATATTTGTTTGCGTCAAAAGAAGTTCTAAAATCCTTAACTTTACATGATAAACTATTAAAGTCCAAAGCTATCAACTTTGAAATGATTACTGAGATATGACAAAATTAATCAAAATAGGACTTCG